GAAAGGACCTATACCAGGCCTAATAGAATGATTATAGTGAAAGATAAAAAAAGGAGACACCCCAAAAAAGAATGCAAGAATAGATAAGAAACATGTTATTTTTTTAATTAGCCTATTAAACATGAAACCTTAAACAAATAGGTTATCTATTTTTGGGAATAAAAATAAAGTTTTGATGCAAAAAAAAAAACTTAAAAACCTTGACAAGACTATATCATGTGACTTCTCACAACTTCCACTTCAAGCCAAGGCTAAGAATGAGGATCGTCTTAAAATAGGAATTATACGTCAGTTTGAAATGACACAGCCCTACAGCAATTAAGTTCCTCTTCCTCCAACTACAGAAATAATTCCAATCAGCTTCTAAATGAGATTTTTTTTTTTAAATGCAGAATGTGGAGAATGAAGTATGCTGGATGACTAGTGAATTATGTAAAAAAAAAAAAATTATATTGTAATTAAAACATTACCATACTTCGCTCATTGAAAATAATCAAATACGCTATTACTCTTGATAAAACAGAAAATTAATTTATTCAATTTTCCCTGATTTTTAAATTAAATGAAATATCTAATTAAATTGAAACTTTTTAATGTTGAGTTAATACATATATTTAAATCTTAACTGCTTACATTTATTGAAAATTAGAATGAAAATTTTTCTGTTGCTAATTAACAGACAAGTAAATATTATCCGATCCACTGATTAATCTTGGATAAGAAAGTATTATACATACTTTAAGTATTGAAATACATGCCATTGTTTTTGGACATTTTGTTATCAAATTTCCTACCATTTGTGCTAAGGAACAATCCTTTGCAAGTGTCATCAATCACTATATATAATAGATATCCCTCCCAAAGAGACAAAAAGTGAGTGATAGATATACCGCGAGGCATTATTCAAACAGTTCTTTTACCTTAAAGAAAATTTTGACTTTTGTTTAACACAGTGGCATATCTGTGGGTCTTGAAATGGAGGGGCTGATGGGGGTTGCAAAGGTGAAGTGAGAGGAGGGGTTCAATGATTAGTTGAGAGTGCGCTAGCTCGCAAAATAAGGTGATTTAAGTTGATTTTATACTACTTGAGTGTGATTTATGGGGTGGGGAGTGTGAGGTTTTTTTGTTTTTGTTTTTTTGAGTGAGTGCTGCTCCCTCTTCTCTGGGCACCCCCCAGATACACTACTGGTTCAACCTATAGAACGACCAGTCCCTACTAGAATTGTAACATGTGATAGCTGTGTAGAATAGTTTGTTGACCTTTTGTGAACCTGAGCATGGTGATGATCAGTAAAACGGTATAACTTAATTTCTTGACAGGATATCAGCTCCATACTTTGCGAAAAAAATATCAAAGTCGATAGATCCTCTTGTGTATGGATGGAAGAACATGAACAACCCGTCACTGGCACGATTTAGTGGAAACGCAATGCACAAAACAACAAGATAATTATTATATACTTAAATAATTTTATGCGATTCAACTATTAATACAATTACAATTATTTCGACACGATTGCTGAGATTGAAACTCTGTTGTATCGATAAAACTGTGGTGTACTGTATATGATACAAATATGTAATTAATGTTTTTTAACATGTGTATATTTGGTATATAGATAACAACTACAACTGTAATGAAGCATTAAGAATGGCATTAAGAGGGAGTGGGAAGAATGAAGGTCTGAAAGTCTGAAGTAAAATTTTACTACTTTAAATGAGTTTTTTTTAATGAATTGTACTTTATTCAATTTATTTTTTACAACAATATGTAATTGTACTTTTTAGCATGGGTAGGATTGGTACAGTTTAAGTAGAGCTGTGAGGCATTATGAAAGACGATGAAGAGGTGAAGAAGAGGAAAGTAGCATTTTATTACCTTTTAAAAGAGATTTATTATTAAATTGAAATACATTTAATTGCCATCATCATTAAAACTATTACAAATACCAAACAGACAAAATTTCAAGTTACAGAAATCATTCAATGAAAAAAATAACAAAAAGACAAATGAAAATTTGCTTCGAGAATGGCATTTTTACAATTTCATTGTCCATACAATACATATTCTTATAATATATTTTAACTACAGTGACTAATACTTTTAATCATCTTATCAGCCTGTGGTTCTTGTTAACTATCAGTGTCTTTTATGGTAGAAAATACTACATTTGGTCTTGCCAATATGGACATATTGTCTAAAAAAATGTATTGAATACTCATGGTTTTTTTCAATTTCATGTTAGAAATTACGTGATTTTAATTTCTGTATTGTATATAGATACATTCACATTGACATTGGCCTTCAAATCATTAATTATATAAATAATGAAAAGAAGGGGGCCTAGTAAGCATCCTTGAGGGACACCATTAAAAAAATCCAGTCAATGTGATACGACACTGTTTATTTCAACCACTTTTCTTCCCGACAAGTAATTTCTAAACCAATTTTATTTAATTTACTACACAAATTATAACCTTGTTTAGCAAACGTTATTCTCTAAAGATGGCAGAAAAAACATAAATAAAATGTCATATTGATAGTGCGCGAGTGATGAATATAAAACAGAGCAAAAACAAAATGAGTTAAAAAAACACTTTGAAAAGCAATAGGTTTGCAAAAAATGGTAGGCCTATAACGAAAGTCATACTAGTATTTTAAAATTATTTATTACTTTATTAAAATTCATTAAAAATTATATTTTTCATTTATCTTAATTAGTTGATGTATTTTCTCTACAAAATAGCATAAAATTGCATATTCCATCTCTCTTTCTCTCTCTCGATTTATCTTCAATTTCCCTTGCATTCCTCAAAAACATTCTGAACAAGAGAAATTTTAATCTGTGTACTTGCCTTCCTCCTCCACCATTCAACCCTCCCTACAACTTGCTGGAAATGTATTTATATGGTTATATATATATATATATATATATATATATATATATATATATATCTCTCTCTTATACACATATATATGTGTATAAGAGACAGATATATATATATATATATATATATATATATAAAATCTAAAAGTAAAGATGCTTGAAGGTCAATATGTAAGTGCAAAGTAATTATCACAATTATATATATGGACAAATGTCGTTTTAAGTCAATAATGTTTGTCTAAGCATTTATCAAGCCAATTGAAATAGGGCACAAGGGATGTACTGGTATTTCGTCGGCGTTTCTTTCACACCGAAAACTTGATTTGAAAATTAATTTATGGCTAGTTGGTAGACGAGTAGAGAGCGGTATCTTTATTTGCCGGCGACTCAATTGTTACAACATGTTAAGCATGTCTGGGTCACGCAATCGACAAGTATGGTAGCTGTCGATAGTGTTCACGGATTTACGTTCCTCTACGTGCGCATTTATTACTTGAAATCTATCTTGCGATTGACGTAGGCCTACTCTCGTTGGATAAGGCCTGTGACACAAACAAAAGTTAACCGCTTCCCCCAATTACTCTGTAGGGGAAGGAGTTGGGAAGTCCTCTTCCCGGTCCTCTTCCCTTGAGACTTCGGTGAATCTCATCTATGTCAGTGGACGTGTTTATGAATGATATTGGTGCGGCATGCAGTAGACCTACAATGTCATTCTGGGCTCGTATAAATATTCACTACATTATTTTAAAAGAGGCAGTAGACTTACACACATAATTATATTAATTGTGACTCGGATTATTTGCTGTCTCTTATACACATCTAACATACTCTGTTTAAAAATGGAATTAAAAAAAGACCTATATGTATAAATGCTATATAGCATGAAGCTATACTGTACATGCCAACTTGTCAGAGGCAGAACAAAACGGGCACAGACCGACTTATGATAAAGGACTCAGTGTACCAGGTACAATTGCAAGAATTGATGGAAGAAATGGATTCCGATGATGTTTCGCATTGAAGAATTACTGTATATGATTTATTATTTAGGTGGCCTAAGTGCCATAGAGGCCTAACAGACACGTTTTTTTATTTTAATAATTTAACATGGTTCTTCTAAGCTAATATTGGCTCCTGATGGCATTTTGAAGCATGAAATAAATTGAATTGAATATGAAAGCATTTGTAAGGTTTGCACAAACTATCTGAAATATGAATTCAACATTCTCTCAACTTCAGAAACGAGAATCTGTCATTTGAGGTTCCTCTAGTATTTTATTTTTAGAACACTATGTCCTGTTTAGTAATGGGCTCCGATATATCCACTTATTACATAACAACCCAGCAGAAATGTGGATTTAATTAAATTAGAATTTTTGGAATGAATTCTTGTAAGATTAGAAATTTGTCTTATTAGCAGATTTACAGAAACCGCAAATTTGTCTTCATGCGAGTTCTACATCTGCCAGATATCTACTGGATAATTCGTTTTTGATTACACGGAGTAAGAGACGTATGGCGCAATCAGCAAATTGCTCTAATTACCTAATAAAAACAAGTAATTGAATATGTTTGAAGATGAAATAATTACTGTATACAATTTAAAAAAAAAATTTTATTCTTGAATATTTCTTAAAATCATTGCTGTCTGTCTTTCTGCCTGTTAGCAAGGTTATCATCAAATGGCTCATCATCAAATTCAGTACAATTTTAGATGCTAATCGAAGTGGTCAATACAGTAGATTAACTAAGGTGGGCTACTATTAAAGCATTGGTTACTAATAGAGTACAGTACTAGGTTTCTATCAGAGATTCAAGGTATTATTATTTGTAGGATAATAAAAACATGATAATTGTAAGTTTTAAAACCAAGATAATAATAATATGATAATATCAATAATTACATTTTTGTAGCCTTTCTGTATAACAATAATAATTGAAATTCAAAATAATAATTATGATGATAATAATTATATTTTAGTAGTCATTCTATATAATACTTTTGTAATTCTCAATATTGTATTTTATCATCATTTAATGTAAAGAGCATGGACAGATGTAAACCTGAAAATGTGCTATATGAATAAATATTATTATTATCAGAAGACTTACGGGTAAATCCAGCTATTCAGCTGCTCGATTTCTTCACGCAAGTTTTCTGGGTATAGGTCTACTTTTCGTTGTTCATCTGTCTGGCAAAAGTCTTGGAAGCTGTTGTTAAACATGCGTATGATTTCAGAGGATTCATTATTCACGATCGTTCCAGTCTTTTTGTCCCACAAACACGGAACAGTAATAGAACCAGAATACCCTGGGAATACGAGTAAAAATGTAAGATGAAAACAAAAACATAAGTCTTTATATAATTTGGTAGTAGATAAAGGTAGACTAAAGATAGGAGAACAACCATACTTGTAGCATCATTATGCTGAACTGCATAAGGGTGTGGTATCTGGCCATTGTAACCAGTGGTGGCGCCAGGATTTGCCCGACATAGGGTCCGAGATTCCCGACAAAAAAAGTGGGCGTGGTAGGGCATCACTCAAAATCTCTCGAAAGCATTCAAATCAAATATGTGAATTTAGGGGTTTCAAAGGCTTATTATGGGGTCTACTAATACAGTATGTAGAAAATACATATACATTTTTGTTACAGATTGTAAATACCTTGAAATAAACATAAATAATCATTTTCTTTCAACACACACATTAATGTTGAAAATAAAATCTAATGTTTTATAGTTCTATATAGATATTGCATGCTTGTTTCTAATGGCTGATCCTTTTACAGGTGGAGTGTTAATATTCAGTTGAGAAGCAACTTATTTTTTCAGGTTTGTTCATTGGATAAGGCACCCTTTTTTGTTTGAAAGAAGGTTGCAAAACATTTTTCGAACGATTGTCATTTTGTCGTTTTTTGTTATGTGCTTTTTTGCGTCCTTGAGCACGGGACTTCTTTGTAATTTTGTTTCTGGAAAAAAAAAATTTGAAATACAAAAAAAAAAAGGTTAGCCCATGGCGTTCATGTGAGAATCTGTCTTTTAAAACTGTTCAGATTGCATATTGAATGAAGTAACTTCATAGAGTACATTTTACTCAATGTTCAGTGCCTGATTGAACAGCTCTAGCTTACTAGTTATTCAGTAACTAATTACATACATGTCACTCGCAAATCACTTGTGCATCACTTGGGTAGAAATGGTGAAAAAAAATTAAATCAGTACTGTAGATCGGTTCACTGCTCAGTTAATTTTGAAGCATTAATATATTCGTAAATCATGTGAAGACATTCTTTGATTGGTGGAAATAGATAGGAAGAGGATATAGGGTCATTCTTTTGGATCTTTTAATTTTCTACTCTGACATGTCAAATGTAATTGGACAGCTATCTGTAAAGAAATCAGGAAATTCAAAGCATTAAGGAAGTAGTCGTTAATTGACATTGGGTTTCTGTGGGGCTTTTTCTATTAAAAACTTGGCAAACAGGACAATGGGCACAATTCGTTGATGCAACTTTTTACTTGCCCACACATATTTCATCTTCACTCTCTCTTTTCTGCGTTCACACTGATTGATTATGAAATATGGTAGTCGTATCATGTGTCCAACATGACGTAAAGTGGTGGAATAAACGGGAGCAGTATTACTACATAATATGGTGTTCTCAGTAATATTATGAAATAGTCAAGTATATTTTTGAGACAGCTTGTTCAATACAGGGATATTCTATGTGTTGCACACTTGGAAAAATATGACAGACATTTACACAATTCATGCATTATTTCATATTTTTAAAGGCCCTATAGATTTAAAGTTTCTGATATGTTATGAAGAAAAAAAAGAATAAAAAAAATTGCTTAATTTTCTATTTCATTTCAATTCACTAATCAGACCATTCATCCACATGAACATTTCAAAGAATATATGCAACATGTTTCCGCAAAACTTGCAAAGATTGCAAAATATTAAGATGGACTTTAAAAAAATAAGCATTTATCACTTTAGATATGTTATATTACTTACTGAATTAATTTAATCCGGGAACAAATTAAATTGAGTTATCAGTATTCGCACAACTGAGAAAAACAGTGACATCACTCTTCACGCACAAGTTGTAGAGTTTACGCGTGATTGCACACAGCGTGAACAATTACAAAGTGCATAGCAATTAACTCTAAATATATCGCAAATATCATACTAATGTATAGAGTACCACAGTTGTGTTGTCATAAGGCCAGGTGGTGCCCTCTGTTGGCAACCAGACGTGGTTACCGTTCATTATGCCTGAATGATTTCATAGGCTTTCTGGAATAGGAATTTTTGAAATCTAATATTTTACCATCAAAATATTCTAAAAACACAAAAGCTTGCATTATATTAGTTATCGAACACACATTTAATCATCAATTAAAATTTACAAAAAAAAGTAAGATACATCTTAATAGTTATGTTAGAAATTAAGATCAATGGTTTGTCAGTGGGGAAAAGGCGTCCAGTTGAACGCATTTTGCAACGATAGCAACAATGGAGTAGTATCATGTGGTATTGTGATGTAACACTGTAGTGCTCTATAACAAAATTTTAACTTGCAGTCTTCAAGTTTATGTTCACACATTTTTTAAAAATTTCCTTCACATCCAACAGCAAGTACACTCCCACTTACAGGATGGAATGATGCTTAAACCAAGCCTCTTTATGAGGCTTAGGGAGTTTTTGGTCGTGAGAAAAAGTCCTTTTGTGACAGGAATCTAACACAGGACTCAGGGATTACAAGGCAAGCACCTAACCACTAAGCTTTTCATCTTCACTCTATCACTGATCCATACCATTAGTGTGATAAAGATTTATAATGAAATTTCCTTTGCAAAATTTACAAATTATTATCTAGCTGGGGATCTATTTAAATGATACAAGTGTATTTTGTCAGTAACAGAAATGAAAGTCAGTGGTATAATTATGTGAAAGCAAAAATACAAAAAAGACTTTCAGGATGAAATTGCTTCTCAACTTACACAAAGTACTTTTGATGATCCACATAAATTTGTAAACTGGTTTTAATAACATTACCTTATTAGGCCAGGTTACTGACTCTTTCTCTGGTGAATTTGTGCTGGTTTATAGAATGAAGGCAGAAGCCATCTATAATTCAGCGGCCCTAGTTTTGGCCATGCCAAGATTGTATGGAGCAACAATATTTGGATGCTGAGGCACACTCGGACATTATATTCAGGTGTGAATGGGAATGCAATGAATCAACCCTGAATGACCCCGCAGGAATGCCTACAGCTGATTAGTTTTTAATGAGGAAACAATCAAACCTGCAGACACGATCCAGATAAGCGATCTGGATCAGCTGATCCGGGATAGGGGTGACCAGTTAGGTGAATCCAAATCATTCTATTTGCATGTGAACCAGAACTAGTCACAATTTTGTCAAAAGACAGATGGTTCGCATCATGAACCAAATTTACCAAATTATCAAAATTCCCATTTTTAGACATTGATCTATCATTTTAAATTTTCTAACAATTTTTATTTTTCCAGGTTATGAGGGAACACATCACATACTGTACGTACAGAAATAACAACAATAACTGAATTAAAGTGCAAGGACTATGTGTTGGGTAGGGTCGCCCAGGATCCCTAAGGCATCGTGTTTCTGTTGTGTTATATGGTGTGTCTGTGCATAGAGTACCACAGTCGTGTCGTCACAATGCCAGGTAATGTCTTCTGTTGCCAACCAGACGTTGGTTACCGTTCAATACGCCTGAATGCCAGCATAGGCTTTCTGGAATAGGCATCTTAAAATTTAATATTTTACCATCAAAATGTACTAAAAACACAAAAGCTTGCATTATATTAGTTATCGAACATACATTTAATCATCAATTAAAATTTTCAAAGAAAAAGTAAGATACAACATCTTAATAATTACGTTTGAAATTGGGTTCAATGGTTTGTCAGTGGGGAAAATGGCATCCGGTTGAACTCATTTTGCAACAATAGCAATGGAGTAGTATCATGTGATATGGAGTAGTATCACAAAATTTTAACTTGTAGTCTTCAAGTTTATGTTCACACATTTTATTTTTAATTTCCTTCACATCCAACAGCAGGTACACTCCCACTTACAGGATGGAATGATGCTTAAACCAAGCCTCTTTATGAGGCTTTAGGGAGTTTTTGGTCGTGAGAAAAAGTCTTTTTGTGACAGGAATTGAACCCAGGACTCTGGGATTAGAAGGCAAGCACCTTAACCACTAAGCTTTTCATCTTCACTTCCATCACTGATTCATATCATTAGTGTGATAAAGATTAGGATGAAATTTCCTTCACAATTATAAATTATTATCTAGCTGGGGATCTATTTACATGATACAAGTGTATTTTGTCAATAATTAGAAATGAAAGTCAGTGGTATAATTATGTGAAAGCAAAAATACAAAAAAAAAAAAAAGATATTCAGTTTTGTTTTCGATTGCTGACTTTCAGGATGAAATTGCTTCTCACCTTACACAAAGTACTTTTGATGATCCACATAAATTTGTAAACTGGTTTTAATAACATTACCTTATTAGGCCAGGTTACCAACTTTTTCTCTGGTGAATTTATGCTGGTCTATAGAATGAAGGCAGAAGCCATCTATAATTCAGCAGACCTAGTTTAGCTATGCCAAGATTGTATGGAGCAACAATATTTGGTAGCCGAGGCACACTCGGACTTCATATTCAGGTGAGAATGGGAATGCAATGAATGAACCCTGAATGACCCCGCAGCAATGCGTACAGCTGATTAGTTGTTAAAGAGGAAACAGTCAAACCTGCAGACACATCCAGATAAACGATCTGGATCAGATGATCCGGGATAGGGTTATAAAGCATTCATACAGTGTGACCAGTTAGGTGAATCCAAATCATTCTATTTGCATGTGAACCAGAACCAGTCAAAATTTTGTAAAAAGACAGATGGTTCATATCATGAACCAAATTTACCAAATTATCAAAATTCCCATTTTTAGACATTGCTCAATCATTTTAAATTTTTCTCAAAATTTTTATTTTTCCAGGTTAGGAGAGAACACATCACATACTGTACGTACAAAAATAACAACAATAATTGAATTAAAGTGCAAGGACTATTTGTTGAGTAGGGTCGCCCACGATCCCTAAGGCATTGGTACCCACTTACATGAAGGTTATTGGGAACAGACTGTTGAGGGAGGGTACATCTCAATAATAAGTTTTAGTATGAGTTTTGAGGGCAGAAATAAGATAAAAGGCCAAAAGAATACTACTTGTATAACATGCATTCGGTGAATCAACTTGCGTGTAGATGAACCCATGTTTAGAAAGAAACTCCTAGGATGATAGAGTGTTCATGGTTGCTGCAGCTAGAGTCTGGAATATTCTTCCATAAAAAACTGGGGCTGCATCCTCCATACATGATTTTACACCTACGTTATTTGGGTCAGCGTGCTACCTCAGTAGTGCACAGTAGAGGAGCCTGATGCACAGGCCAAATGTAGAAATTACCAGAGCCCAGCATACCAAATGGTGTGTCTGTACATACATGGCCAGAGAGAGAGAGAGTGATGGTCACCCAAGTATGGCTCATGTAATATAACTGGTTCCTAAACTGTATCTGGTTTCATTAATATTACTGCTATTACTATTAGGGAAAGGGTAGTCATGTGGCCGAGTAGTAAGGCTACAGCCTTAACATTGGTCCAGGTTTCAGCCACTCCTCGCCCCTGATTCAATTGGTAGAACCAAGTCTTCTCTGATAAGAACTTAAAATGGAGGTCCGTTGTATACATTTGACTCGTGTGCAGAACCCACTGCATCTTTTGGAAGAGTAGGGGTTTACTCCCATGTTATGGTTTGCCTCTGTCGTTGTGGAATGATGTGAACATGTAGCTACCATGAAGTGCCTCTTTCACGGACCACGCTCATACATAATTCAGCACAATGACGCTGCAAATTATGCGTTAATCTCCTACCTTTACCCTTTACCTTAGAGTGGGAAAAACAAGAGGTTTTTACTCCGGAATAGAAGATGGCAAGATAGTGTATGGTGATATCTTTCAGATATTAGTTGGCTATGTAACTATATTTCTGCTGAAAGCCAACATCTCTGATAATTCACCTGAACCATGTACGTCTAGATTTCTTCAAAAATGATCCTAGACTCAAGAATACCCATCTCATTATTGTCATGAGGTGGAGCGTTTTGAAAAAATGGTTTCTTAAGAGCGAGTATCAATAAATATTTGCCATTTTTTCCAGAATTTGAAAGGCCAACCTAGCACTCATCTGATCTGTGAGTGGAACCCTGGCCTTCTGGCTAAGATTAGGACCCACAATCCCTGTTCATGCATACACACTGAGGAAACAGTAAGAGGCCATTTGCTGAGCAAACTGCTCTTATTTATGCCAGCCACCTATGCACTTTCTTTTTTTTTTCCAATTTGCAGGTCAGTCTCTCATACTTAAAATCTGGATGTTGAATGACCAAGTAATGAAGGGGCACCGCTAAATTACAGCCTTAATAAGAACAGCGTTGGTTTCAGTGGCCTGTCGCCAAGCTTTCGGTTGGTAGAACTAAGTCTATTCAGAGGACTTAATATGAAGGTCCAATGTACGGTACACATCGGGCTCGTATGCACTTTAAAGAAACCATTGCATCTTTTGGAAAAGTACATTACTAGACCTGTAGCCAGGGGGAGTTTTTATAGCAAATCCCCCTCTTTTCTGGCGAAATTCACCCCCACCCCTCAAATTTCCCGAATGAGTTTTTTAAACATAACTGCTTTTATAGAATTATTTAGACCCATAAAACACAAAAATCCTTTGGGGGTTTCGCCGACCCCACCAGGGCTGAGTCCCTGGACCCAGAGAACCCCCTCCCCTTGGAAGAACCTGGATACGGCCTGATTACCACGTTGCTATGGTTCATTTCAGTCCATTGTGGAATAATTGAATATACATTGTTTTTGTACCAATATTCGGTGGGGATTACCAAAGATGGGCATGGCCTGTCCATCGGCTCAGTGCCACGCCCACTGGCTTCCATTTTGGACGGCCTATTTCATTTTTCTGGCTAAACCAGATGTGTATAAGAGACAGGACTATGTGTTGGGTAGGGTCGCCCAAGATCCCTAAGGCATTGGTACCCACTTACGTGAAGGTTATTGGGAACAGACTGTTGAGGGAGGGTACATCTCAATAATAAGTTTTAGTATGAGTTTTGAGGGCAGAAATAAGATAAAAGGCCAAAAGAATACTACTTGTATAACATGCATTCGGTGAACCAACTTGCGTGTAGATGAACCCATGTTTAGAAAGAAACTCCTAGGATGATAGAGTGTTCATGGTTGCTGCAGCTAGAGTCTGGAATATTCTTCCATAAAAAACTGGGGCTGCATCCTCCATACATGATTTTACACCTACGTTATTTGGGTCAGCGTGCTACCTCAGTAGTGCACAGTAGAGGAGCCTGATGCACAGGCCAAATGTAGAAATTACCAGAGCCCAGCATACTTCCATGTATAGGAAGGGATTCAGGGGGGGGGGGTAAATCTTGTATTTAAAAAAAAGCCTCTTCCTGTCTCAGATATACAGTACCTGTAGATATCTACAGTAGTATCATCTGATGCCATGTTGAACTCACCTGGTTCTGCTTTCTCGTAGATTTCTCGCAAATATTCAGCATTATTGACCGGATCAAGTGTGCACTTTGGCTTCTGAAATTATTGAAATGTAATTAAATATGATAAATCCACTTATTGCAAAAATGAAAAATTATTGACAACAATCTATACATGAAAATAATGTAATAAATGACAGGGGACTTTCCCCAGAGTGGGGAGCTCTCCCCTTAGAGGATTACCCAAGATATCATATTCATAAATTTTAAATCTGTGCCTCTTGGTTTTGTATTTGTTGATAATGTCAAATAAATCAAATCAAACTATTTTTCACACAGCAGAAACAGAACATTTCGTTAATATTGAGGCTATAATACCATTACACACGATGATAAAAAAAGTTATGACTTCAAACAAAAATCACAAACTAAAAAAAAAAAATGACAAATAAAACTCAAACAAAGCCATCTGGTATTGCAGGTAGAGAACAATAGGGTTAAAAGTGAAAGAAGTTTGCCAGAAAAACCACAATAAACAGTTAACACAAACAATGAGGACATAACTTTTTTAAATCCCAGGCCTAGATTCATGAGGTCAAGGGAATTCAATCCACATGTTGCTTTTCTCTGTAAAATTCAAGAAAAAAAACCAGAAAATTTCAAACGGTTGAACAATGTCATAGTTGGTGAGCTACAGCCTTATGAATTCTAGATGGTGAAACGACAAAAGTGCATAGGTCAAAGGACGTCCTGATATAAGTGACAGCTTCAGACGGTTCTTATTATGGATCAGGTGTAAGACTTTGATGAGGATATCCGCCTTGGAGTAAGTCCTACAGGACTTCAAAAATAAAAACCACACAAAATTCTTTTTAATGCAAGTTCAGGACTGTTCCATTTTAACATGGATCACTTAAACTCACAACCTTAGTATTTACTTCACTATTTATATTTTGGTAGGCCTGCAATTACTTGTATCTGTAAGTTTAGGACCTTATCATCTAAATGTGGATCGTGCAAATTTTCAGTTTCACATGCTTACAATCAGTGAGCTGCAAACACATACGATTCTTTCAAATAGAATTAATTTTTTTCAATTAAATTTAAGTAATAATTTTAGTGAGCCCGAAAATAAACGACTCAAGGACCGCCATTGTTAATATGGATTGTGCAATTTTACTGTATCGTATTTTGATGTCACAATTTTTGTTGGATAAAAGATTCTTTCATTTTAAGTCTATATGATTGTTGTGAATTTGGTTGTACATGTCCCAATGTTTGTGGTATGACACATACACAAAAGCATCTTTTAATGCAAGTTCATTACATTTAATTACCATCTAAGTATAGGCTGTGTAAATATTATCTCACTGATGTTATAATTTCAGTGAGCCACAAGTACATAAATTTCTTTAAACATAAATTCAGGACTATTTATATTTATATACTAACTACATAGACAGACATTTAATTGGTTAAAAACTGGGCAATAGTTCCAGCCATGCCCTTTAATCAGTGGTAGCGCCAGCGGGGGTAGGGGAAATTTTCCCCTATCAAACCCCCCCACCGGTTGTCTGACGACATGACACAGTTGTCAGATCAAAAGTAAAAAAAAATAAAAATGTGCCTATCCAATGACGTTATTTTGATTGTCAATCCCTAATCTGGTCTAAAAGCACAATTTGAACAATACTAAGCCACAAAAACTCTCCCTGCGAACCCTACCAGCAATTTTCATTCTAGGACCCATGTTTATTCTGTAAGCCTACTAGGTCCACCGACTTAGTCTCGAGACATGTAGTACTACCTCCAGATCACCTCAAGCTATATTTTGAACTATGCCCTTCAACGCAGTAAATATTAAATTTTAAATGCTACTATCACGTTCGAATGATTTAATTGATAAAAGGATTTTTTAAAAATATTTCCTTCACATCCAACAGCAAGTACACTTGCCACTTACAGGATAGAACGATGATGCTTTATAAACCAAGTCTATTTATGAGGCTTAGGAAGTGGAGTTGTTTTAAGTTGTGAGAAAAAATCCTGCTGTGACAGGAATTGAACTAAGGACCTTGGAATCAGAAGGCAAGCATCTTAACCACTGATCTACAGTATTCAACTCCACTCCTAAAATTGATTAATTGATTGATCATCTTAAATATGAATTGCACAAACAAGTCTTGGTTCTGGTTCTGGTGGGTAAAGCTGGTCTCTTAAGACTCCAAAAGTGTAGGAGTATCACTACCGCAAACGTCAATCATGAGCAGGCTTGCCATACTGACTCAGGCCGCATAGGACCTGATAGTGATATTTTAATGTACTCATTGAGCCCACATTTACAGATTGTTTAACATGGGTGTATAAGCTCTCTTACTATTTTAAGGCTGTTCTGTACATAAAATATAGAATCACACATGTATTGAAAGACATGTACTGACTATACAAGAAGTAAAAAAGTTAAAAATAATACTTGTTTAATGACTATAATTCATCAAATACGTAAACAATTAAAACTTTTTTTACTGGTTATTTAAGTTATAAAATAGTTTTTTTGCAATTGAAACAGAAGCTGATAAGGAGACACTCATCCATTTAATATGCCTTCAAAAAGTTTTTTGCTTGTAAAGTGAGTAGAATCTTAAATAAGTACGACAAATCCGGAAGGAAATGCAATAAATTTTGAAGCAAATCTTTACGTGATTGTACAAGTTGAATTAACAGACTGGCTGGACACAGCAATTTACCACCAAAGCTGACATTTTATTTGACCCTTAAAATAACATGCGTACCATAATAAAATAGGATCACAAAATGAGGAAAATATATATATATACATATACATATGTATAACAATCTCCAAAATCTCTATATAACAATCTCTAAAAATATAAGTACATATGATTGATGTGATAGATTACTCTAAATTTAAAAATTTTCTCCTACACAATTCAAGGCCAAACCAGTCACTCCTAACAAATCATGTTTCGAGGATAATGGCAAGACATTTTAGAATATCAATATTTTCACTAAAATTTTCCCCATTTTCAACATTAAAACACATTTAATGATTTAATGATGGTCCCTGCCTGAGAAATAATAAACTTTGATCTTTTACCATTTTATAACTATCATTTTACTGCTGTATTAATAACTAGAAATTTTTATTGCTAGAAGTGACTTTTTTGACAAGTCTTGGCCACATATCATTCTTATTCTAATTTTTTAAAAAACATGATTATTATACTTGATTATGGCTTCATGTACATCCAATGGGAGAATCAATATAATCATTATAATGTACAGTTATGATACTTCTAATTAAGGGTATACAGTGTAGCTAAATAAAATGCATAAAATGGCACTTCTAGATGGCAAAATGAAACTGTCAAGACTAAAAATTTGTAATATTCTTTTAATAATTTATATTTAATTTTGCAAAAATTTAAGGCTCCTTCCTGATTTTTTAAAATTCGTCCAATATCCGGGTAAAGCCAAGACAAGAGATCGGAAACATATAAACAAGATGTACATTACCTGAAGACTGCGACTAGTTTTGCTCCTATCAATAAAACATATTTACATAAAACATCCCTAAAAACAAAAATTAAAGATTCTAACAGATCACCAATAAAATAATGGTATTAAAATATTTACTTTGCAAATCTTGCCTTTTATCCTTTGGCAAAAGGTGCTATATAAATTTCTATATTATTATTATTATTATTACTATATAACACTGATATCTAAATGGTAGTTATATAAGATAATTTGTTTTGATAATGTATTATAGTGCATTTTCTGCATGATGTTGCTGTACAAAAACATAAAATGAGTTTCATACACAAATAATTGTATACAATATTAATAAATTTATATTTATTTAACACATATTACCTATTGCACTTTACACAGAAATTATAAAAGGCCAATAGCAGTTATTTTAATAAATAACAACAGTAACAATTATTTTAATAAATCCCTTAATACAGACCTTCAAAATCAATGATATATGCCCTTTAAATGCATATTGCACTCTAATCATGCACTTTACACAAAAACTTTAATGGACCAACTGATAAAAATAACAAAACAACAACAACAACAACAACAACAACAACAACAACAACAACAACAACAACAACAATTAATAACAGACCTGCCAACTCACCCGATCCTGTCGGGTGTCACCCGATATTTAAACAAATCTCTAGTTCTCCCGATCGAATGTAATTTTCACCCGATTTTCACAGGCCCTCCCCCTCCCCAAAAATACTCCGATTTATGCATAATTTGATTGATTTGATCGTTATTATTCAATGTATTTGCCGCCTGCTCGCTTAGCGGTGCAATAAACAAGCAGCCATTTTCAATTTGAATGTCACCATTAACGGCCAATGACTTGTAGTTACATGAATTTTTTGGTATCTTGCATCATCTTTTGGTTAATTCTGGAAATCACCAGATTTTTTGGTAAATCTCCAGATTTTTTTAAGATTCTTAAAAAAATCTCCAGATTTTCATGACCCAAGGGTTGGCAGGTCTGTAATAACAATATCAGTAATAAGATAACAAATAATTTAATCAATCCCTTTTAGTACAAACCTTTAAGTATTTTTATGATTATAATAATTCAAACTTGTGTGGCATTTTCATATGGTAATCCACCTATAAACATAATTATTTACTATCTTAATTGATTTCAAGCATACCATTTAGCCTAGGTTTACTGCTTTATTAAACAAACTTGACACAAACATGTTTCTACGATACTAATGCCATCTTCAGTGTAATATAACAATGCTTTACAACCAAAATTCTAGCAATTATAAGATAGAACAATTGTCATAGTCTGTATGGCTCCTTGATTCCCTCCAAGAGGTTCTGGCAGGGGCTACAGGTTCTGTTTGATTTTGTAGGATGAAGTAACTCTGATGCCCAGAGAGCTCAGAGAAGTCATCAACCTCCAGAATCACAACTTCTTCTTCAGCAATTTTTAGCAGAATGCTGTCATGGCCTCGTTCGTATACTCTAATTGAATACGTCACGCTGTCGAGAAGTTTTGCATTCATTATTTCAAGCATAAATTCTCCATTGGCACCTACTCTAGGAAATATACGTTCACTGAGATTGTTTTTGCCTGTGAATTCTTCACCTCGAATAATCTCTTCTCCATTTAGTAGCCAACTTATCACGTGATTCTCACCAATTCCTTCTACGACAGCTTCTAGATGGACACTTTTTCCCAGTTTGACAGCCACACATCTAAAGTCTTTCTTGATCACCACCATTATGCTACTGGGGTTTTAGAGAATAAGCCTGGTTAATTGCTAAGTTCATGTTGCAATTTCAAGACATAGGCCTACTGTATTATAAGCATGCATTATCAATGCATTAAAGTCAATCTATATAGAAACTTCTATTTCTCCCATATTCTAGTCTGTGAACAAAAGTGTTCTCATTCCTATTTCAGAGTCCTAAAGTCTGTAAGAGTAGGAAGGCCTAGATTAACAAAAAAAAAGTAAACAGCCAATTATTACTTGTACTTTAGGTCTATTATAGTAAATTACTATAAACATAAAAGCGGGCAATGCCTATATCGCAGTGAATTCCATCTCCACAGAGATGTATGAAAATGGTGTGCTTGTTGGTATCATCGAATACAATTACATACACCTACTGGTTGATATATTTAGATGTGTAAATTCCCGTTATTCTAACATGAATATTTTAAGGCCAATTAATTAATATTTCTCATCCTAATATTTTGAAAAAAAGGTGAATGAGTGCACTTTTTTTTTTCTCCGAGATGGTAAATCCAAGATAGTCGATGGGAAACAGTTATCTACTTCCTTACTTTACCAAGTAAACACATTGGAAGCAACTAAAAGATGCACTATAGCATGATTCATACAATCGAGTTAGGAATTTTACTGATGCGAGTTAGCCAGATTTTAGTACATTTTGTAAAATAATGGAAATAAACAAAAAAAAAATGCAGAGAAAATGAATGCGCAAGGGGACAAGAAACAGTTATTTATTTATTTTTTATTAGATGATACGGCCTTTTATTGTTACACTACATAAAAATGCTGTAGCCAGCTATTGGGACAGGGACAGTCCTACACAATTTTTCTAAATGGTCCACAAAGAATGGGTCCACATTTTTTAAAATGGGTTCAAATTATGTAATTTTATGCATAAAATGGGTCAAGATTTCTCATATTTTTTAGCTTATAATTGGTAAAATTTAAGAAAATGGGTCCAGATTTCTCACATTTTCGCGTAAAATGGGTCCACATCGTTTGAATTTACGCGTAATGTGGATCCTCCCTGATATTGTCCCGTACTGTTTGAATACCCTGGCTACGGCATTGACTACACAGAAGAAATACAATACTTAATTGTAGAACTGTACAAATCAAATTGCACCTACTGCTATAGTGTAATGTGTGTTGTCGATTGCAACTGTCTACAGAATCGTCAAAAGGCCTATTTAAACAAGTGCATTTTACAGCAATGTTTAAATAGGCTGTAAAATGCACTTTAAAATGTTGAAATAGTGAGAAGTGCATTGGCGACTACTGCAACTAGAAGTGAAGAAATTACTTACATTTCAATGAGAAATAACTCTGGTTCAGACTTGCTAGCTGCACGTATACGTCCCAACCAACAATGGCCATTGAGGATAATGCATTGTTGTCTTGCACATGCGTTTACAAAGAGTATCACTGACATTCATATTATGTATTACAACGCGTGTAGTATATACGAGAACATTGTATTGCTTAGAAAATTATTGACAGCAATGTTTATTTGTAAATAAATTTCGATGATATTATTTTTGCTTTAATAATAATTATACCTATATGTAAGTACTGTTACAAGATATTCACAAAGACATAATTATCATGAGCTACTATGTTTAATAGTGTATCTGACAGTTATTTGAATCTGTTCAACCATAAAGCCTCTGTGGTCTATGGTTATGATGCTCATCTTGACAAAGTCTTGGAAGCACACAGTTAAGAATATGACCATGGAAAGCACCCAGTGATCGATTTTTTGTGCTATTTATTCTATTTATGGCCTATATAATCTTGCTCATCAAACCACTCCATGCACATTACCCAGAGGTTGTGTGTATTCATGTAATGTACTGTATTCATCAAACTTTTATTATGTTTTAAATATATTTTTTTATAATTATGTTTTTCCTCAGGGCCCAAATTAAATGGCCTTGCGGGCCAAATTTGTCCCACTGAACTGCCTATTATGAACCAGGAAACTTTAGTAATTTCAACATTAATAATAATAATAATAATAACAATAATAATAATAATAATAATAATAATGAAAACTTTTAAAGCGCCGGTATCCATTTAAAGAAAATGCTCATGGCGCCCCTCCACAAGAACTCAATAAATATGACAGATAAAGAAACAATGAAGTTTAAGAACCAAAATCAATTAAATAATAACATAACAATAATAATAATAACAACAACAACAACAACAACAACAACAATAGCAGTAATAATATAACAATTGTTTCAATCAATTCCTTTATACACACCTTTAAAATTGATGAAAGCTGCCCTCTAAATAGTTTCAATGATATTTCAGAAGTATTTTTCAATAGAATACTTCAAAAGTTGTATCATATTTTCATATTTATTATGACAATAATCCACCTATGAATATAATTATTTACTATCTTAATAAATCACAACTGATTTTAAGCACACCATTTTAGCAATACTTTTCTAATACCTTGTTTAGCGCACCCAATATTTGAAAAATCGTGCGGAAAAAATAATAAAAATAATTTTAATTTCTAAAAGTTAGCTAAATTATCCTGCCAAAAGTACCTGAATAGAGGAAGGGAAAAAAATAAAATTTTATTTGCGAATAAAATTATAAAAATTAGGAATTGCGCTAAAAACTTGTGTGTGGTGTCACGATCGATCAAAGGCCTGCCGCATAAATAAAAATAAAATTTAATTTTTTCCTAATTTCCAATTATTCACGGCAGCAGGTGCACTAACTGGTTAAAAAATATAATTTTATTTTAATGCCAATCTTTTTTTTCGACTGTTGGAACGTTCACTAAACAAAGTATCAAAAAAGTATCAACTTACCTAAGGTCTAAATGTTTTAATAAAAAACTTGAAACAAACATGT